TTTTTTTTTCTATTTTCTTCGATTTCGCCCTTACCCCCCCAACCAAAAATTTGATTTTTTTTGTTTTTGTTTGCCTGATGGGGTGGGGCTGAGGTTGCACCGCCACGTGGCGCTTCCCGATTCCTAAACCCCCTTCCCCAGCGGCCGCCACGCGTCTGCGAAGATGCGCGTCCGCGCGGACGCGTCCCTGGGGTCGCGGACTTAGCCGCGCCTGTCCGCCGCCAAGGGTGTTACATAGGAATGGTCATGAAGCTATTCCAGACTTGCTCGGTGGCTGTCAGGATGTCTGTTAGTTTGGCAGTTTGCGGGGGGATATGGTTTAGTGCGCAACGGGCCATCTTTTGAAGTTCTTTGTTGACGATTATATTTAAGTCTAGTTTGATGACATGCGCAACCCCATCCCAAGGTAACAGTTCTGGGGGCAGAGGATTAGAAAACGCAGCGTATCTTTGGTGCTGGCAAAAACAGATTCCCTGTAGTTGGCTAAGCCAATCCGGAAGTTCAAAATCCCGGAAAACAGCAGCGGGTTTGTATAAAGACTTTGCAATATGATTATTGTAGGTCCAAGAAAACGTACATTTGGTCAAGAGGGGCAAGGCACTGGGGTTATGTTTTTCCATTATTTTTTCAAAAATTCTTTTGAATTTGATCCTACCCATCATTCGATTTGGGTAGTGACATGGGATAATGATTTTGTCGCTTTCTCTGCAGGTCCTCCATCCGAGTCTTCCGTCCTCCATGGTATATAATCGCTGCACCTGCACACATGGCATTTCATCGATTAAGAGTTTTTTTTTAAGAAGTAAAAGGAAGAATGGTTTACAGTTTTGCGTTAATGTAGGGGTGTTGGATGCCGTACTGTTTATATGGGTTTTTTTTTGCAACTGCGTATCAGCCTGTAAATCCTCAGTGGCATGCCGGGGTTCATATAGTAGATTCTGAAATCAGTACTTTATGGGCTATGTTGTTATGAGGGTGCAAGGATAACAGGGCTATGGTAGCATTTGATTATGATAACAGTATTTTATGGGCCAAGTTGATATGCGGATGTTAGGATAACCGGGCAGGGGCTCCTGGGTGATGATTTGAGAGCACTGTGTAATGCAATTGATTATTTTCGTATCAAGGTTGATGTATTTTGCTAATCCATGAGGCTGACCAGGCTAGGGTTTTTTCGTTCAAGAGGTACTTTTCCTGGAGCCAAAAGTTTAGAAACTGTGTATTTTATCAGCACTAGTTGCAGAACTACTGTGTGTGATGTACACTTTCATATTTAGTAGGGGACCGCATATAGTGACAAACAAAGCCTGGGAGGGAGATAAATTAGCAGAGGTTAGGTAGTTCAAAACCCACCGTTTTTTCAATAAGTCAGGGAGGGGACAGAACCAAGGGTTTTGTCATTCATGGGGGGAGAAAGCGAGTTTGCTTGTATTATTACCAGAAGTAGAGCACAGGTTAGAAGGGAGCGTTGGATTTGGATAAGCCAAGAGGCAGCAACAGAAAGGAATAAATCAAGAAAGAGAGTTAGTTGAAACAAAAATAGCTAGCTCAGAAAGTGGACAGATGGATCAGTTCCGTGTCACAAAGTAAGATAAGCAGATATCTTGATCATAAAAAAAGGGCGGAATACCGCAGCAACTGGTCAGATTGGCCGTTCTATCTGTGGAACCATCCTATAGCCTATTATCTAAGGTCCTGGATCTTCACCGATTTTACATGAGGCTGGATGTGTCCAGGTCTGAGCTATAGGTACAACATTATGGACATCTACAGTACGGGACGTGCAATAGTTCCCAAAACGTTGCTATGCTTACATAGTACATTTCACTGTACCATGCAGCAGGAAGGCGACCATGGTCTTTAGCTCCTTGCAATGCTAGTACCGCCTAGCCGGTAATCTGGGCTAAGTCTACGGCAAACCCTCTTCCAGGAATCGTCCGAAGTCGCCGATTCAGCACCCAGTGTTGTCTGATCACTGGCTGTCCGAAGAAGAGATGAGTCGGCACTGCTTGCACCATAGTTATGTCTGAGTGCTTCGATTGCAGATCCAGGGCGCAGCGGCGCATCAGGAGATAGTGAGCCTATCCTGATGGGGAGTTGCGGGTTGTCCCCGTCTTTGGCTTCATTGCTGCTGATCTGGATGATCTCCGGGTTCGCTTGCTCATCTCTTTGCAAGTGGACGATTGCACCAATGTATCCTTGTGTCCATTGCTGCAACAGAGGTTCAGTGTGGAGGCTCCAGGTGTGTGGGGGAGGCAGGGTTGAGGTAGCGGCTTCTCTGGGAGCAGGGGATCTGGTTGGATGGAGGCTGTGGAGGAGGGTGTGCTGCATGTGCGAGGGGGGTGGGGGATGCGTTCGTTGACCGGCATCGATGTTCAGTCGATGTGCTTGGGCGTGGAGGATGTCGTGCATGTCAGGCTGGCGCCGGTCGTATTGCGGTTAGTTCCATCTCGCTTGCTTCGTTATTTGCCTGTCGGGACGCAGGGGCTGCATTCTGCAGGTTTTGTTGCCTCTTCGCGTGTTCTTTCTACTCGGTGTAGGTAGGGGGTTCATGGCAATACTTAGTAGCAGTTCTCTACGTCGTGCCAGTCTTTCAGCGTCCGTGCTGCTGTTTGGTACAGACGGGGGGCAAGGTGGCAGTGTTATTATGAGGTGGAGGGGTAGTGGATGCAGCAGCATGTGTGGGTGGGTGGTGTATGTTTGTGTTCGTGTTCGTGTTTTCGTGCGTAACTAGGAATGGGCTGAGTGGGTTGGTGTCTGGGGTGCAAGAGGCGGTGTTTCTAGCAGCGAGTTGTGCAACAGCAAAGGTGAAAATGTTACTGCGTGGCTGGGGTATAGTCTGGGTGGGTGTGGGAAGCTGGTTTGGCTGCGCAGTGTCCGAGGATGGTCTAGTGCCAGCGTGCGTGTTTGCCGGTGGTGTGTGGTGAGGATTGGGATTTTGAGGTGGAATTGCAGCAGTCTGTGGTGTGCAGAAATTGCTGTGTGTAGATGGTACTGTTGGAGGCTGATTGGTGTGGTGTGGCAGAGTGTTGGGTGCGGGGGCGTGCTGCTCGGAATGTCGAGGCTGCGGCATTGTGTCTTGCGGTGTAACAGTGGTACCAACGTGTGTCTGCAAGCCGGGAGTGGAGGCGGAAGCGGGGTGTAGTGTTGTGAATGATGCGGTTGCGTCTGATCCTGGGGTATGTGCCTGTTGCGGTGTTCGGGACGGTGGTGTGCATGTGATGGGGGAGCCTGTTTGTGAGGTGCCGAGCCTCATTTGCCTGCATCTGCGTAGCGAATTGCCTTCGAAGTCGCCCGTGCCTTCTCTTCTGCTTGGTGTTTGCGCAAGCACTCCTTCTGCATTAGGAAGCAGCGCCGCCGTGAACTTTCGGACAAAAGGCACTTCCTTGAAGTCTTTGAACCCGAGGATCTCTTCGATAGAGATAACCTTGTTCTCCGTGATGAGATGCAGGATCTTCATCATATATTCCCTCATGAAGATGAAGGAGTCCTGAGCCAAGATAGGCTTCTTCCAGGTTGTGCGTAACAGTGTCTGGAACTCCAACATTCTGATCTTGTCAGATGGCGCCAGCGGGTCCAGTTTGTCCAGATTGCCTATGACATAACAGAGCATGTGGTCCAACCATGTGAAATTTATCTCACATCCTGGGCATGGACACTTGAGGAAGGGTCTTCCGGCGTTCCATAACTTCTTCAGTTCTAGGAGGTCTGTTGGGAACTTAGGGATTCCTTTCTGGTACAGCAGCGGGTTCTTGGCGCATTTACCCTTCTCCAGTTTGGAGATTGCAGGGAATTCTACATCTAGGCCAGCCCTTCCGGAAGGGAGGGATATGGTACCGGTCCTGGCGGCAGTGCGGCAGTTGTCTATGTCAGCCACAGTCATGGCAGCAAGCGCCATGTAAGCATCGACACTGATTGGAGCCGTATAATTGAAGGTGTCCATCTTCCATAGGCGATTATGGACATGCTGTACCGCCTTTTCCGTCCAGATCCTTGATGCGAGGGGAAGGAAGGAGTTGTTCTTACTGAACTTGTGGCCTGTTCCTCCTGTGGTTGAGGAGATGTTGATGTGCGCGGCCTCCCTACGTAGAGTTTCCTTCCTCTTGAAATACTCCAGCTCTGCAGGAGTTAGGGCGATGCTGCTGATGTAGGATTCAGTGAAGGTCTCGGTGGCATTGTTTGTGGATATCTGGCCAGTGCTGTTTAGGTGTGAGGAGTCGTAGCCATGGAGGTCGAGGATGACCTTCTCTGTTTTGGCGATGATGAGGTTAAGTTCTCTATTCTCGATGGCGGACTTCCTGCAGACCTCTGCAATGTTGGCGGCGAGTTCCTTGATTTTGTCAGATAGCTCTTGGGGTCTGGTTTGCAGTACTGCAACCAAGGTTGCCCTGTCGCTGAAAGTCATGTTTTCTATCAGGAAGGGCGCTTGTCCGTTCGTGGCGTTATGTACTTGCAGCAGCACGTCCGCAGGGATAGCCAACATGGCTATCTGACAGTGTACATTGGGCGGTTTGAGCATGCAGAATGGTCTGATGTACGTGACCAGTTCTGGATGCCAGCCCATTTGGATACTGTCTTGATCCTGCACATGTTACATACAGGTAAATGGGTTAGTTTTCAGGTTGCTTCAGCATAGGTGGGTGTTCTGTCTATTGGAGGTTGAGTTTAATGATTATTTTTGCATTACCTATCCAAGTAAGGTTCTCGAATAGCAAACGAGGCCTGTATAGCTTTTACAGAGGTAACAACTAACCCAGGGGTTATAATGTCAGTATGGGATTCAAGGGGTAACATGGGGTGCGGAATGTAAAAAGGAGTCTAGGTTCAATATTGGACATATGAGCCGAGAGGGGGGTTTTGTACAAGCGGTCAGGAGCAGGCACGCCATGTTGCGGTGAGCCGCCATTTGGGTTACCGTTATCACCTAGGGTATGCTGCATAGGGGGCGTGAGATGTGTCCTATCTTGTTTTTAGTAGCTTATCATTTGCTGGTGGGGGTCCATTTATTTTGTTATTTTATATTTATTTTTTATTTATACATATTTTATATTTTATTTAATTTTTAATTTTTAATTTTTAATTTTTTATTTTATATTAGCCTATTCTTCAAAGTCCTTATGCCATACCTCGTTGAGCAGGTTTGCCTAGCAGACCGAGGGCAGGGAAGGATAGGAGGGTACCTGAGAAAAAAATTAAAATTTAATTATTTATTGTTTATTATTTATTATTTATAACAAAAAAAATTATATATATAGCGTTCGTGCCCTATCTTTCGCTGGGCAGGTTTGCTTGATGGCCCACAGGCAGGAGAAGGGGGAAGGGCACCCAAGGCGTGGCTTGTGGCAGATTGTAGCGTCTGTGTTTCAGCTGTTAACAATGGGTCTTAACGTTATGTCTGGCGGTAATAACTGCTTGTAGCCTTCTGGCTGTTCTTTAGAGGTAGTGTTATGTTTTTTTTTAAAAAAAGGTCTGAATCAGAATTAACTACTAGAATTGTGGATAGTTTATTTTGGTTTTAAAGAGCATGATTTTCAGGCAGCCGTGGGTATATTATTTTGGTTTATTTTGGTTTTAAGGAGCGTAACTTTCGTGTAGATAGTTTATTTTTTATATTTTATATTTTATATTTTATATTTATATTTATATTTTATTTTTATTTTTATTTTTCTTTTTCTTTTTTATTTTTTTATTATTTATTATTTTTAATTATTTATTATTTTTTTTATTATTTTTTTTATTTTTTTTTTTAATTTTTTAATTTTTTTATTATTTTTTTATTGAAGGTTTTTACTTCTTCGATCTGTTGAGGAGGTTTCCTTTGCAAGCCTTGGGCATGGCAGGAGCGGGGGGCGCCCGGGGCGTAGTCAGGAACAGACTGCTACCTCGGAATTTCGGCTACGTGTCATGAGGCTTAGCCTGGTTATCKTATGATGTGCGATCTTGTAAYTTTTTTAATTTTTGATTTTCTATTCCTTATTTATTTTTTWGTTTTTTAATTGACATTTTGTTTATTATTTTGTTATGTATATTTTTTTAATGATCATATATGTGGACTGAGTCGCATACTCAAGGTGTGGGTTATTAGAGTCAGAGCATATCGTTGGTGTAGCTAGATAGTTTTCAGGGGATCCTTGGTGGATAACGCTTGGTAGTGGTCGGTATCGGAAAGTGGGTATGTCGATTTACAGCACCCCGTTCGATGCTTATTTTATTTTAATGCGGGTATCATTAATAGCGTAGTCGTAGTTGTAATCAACATGATATATGAGTGTAGGTATGGGGTTCAGTCTGATTTGCTTTAGTGATGCCGTYTGATAGCCGTTTAAGGAGTTTTTCATAATTCGATGAATTACCCAGTATTATAAATTTTAATTATTTTCTTAAAAAAAATATTAAATTTATAGTCCTTTAGTTATTCGTATATATATTTATTATTGATAATTTTTACTATTTTGTGTTTTTTTTTTTAAAAAGGGTTTTTTTTTTTTTTTAAATGAATATGTGTATATTTTATTTTTTGATTTTTGTTTTCATCTATTTTAGTATTTTTTTATGTATCAGAGGGGTACGTAGTGTAACACAAGACAAGAGTTCCTAAAGCCATTACGCTAAGCGTTTTCCTTATATTTGTGTATTGTGGGGTATCGAAGCGGTACATGTCCTAGGGTGTTTGGGAGTGAGAGTTGCAGAGGGGGCGGGGGGCGCACCCGTTTTATTTTTAATGGGAAAGTATTTGCGGGGGGTAAGGTATCCGATGTTTTTCGATGTAGGACACC